GGCCGAGACGCGTGGCCTCTAAACAGAGAGGACTTTCCAGCGGTATGCGTAGATTGGAACGATCGAAGCCTTGGTTTCTTCTTTAATTACATGAAGAGTCATGTTATCTGCATTCGTCGTTCGAAAGGCGTGACGGGCACGACTTGAAAAGAATGGACCAGTCCGTAGTAGTTCCGTTTCCGATCCGAAGCTCGGAGCTTGAGAGACGTAGGCTTCTATCCTTCTTTCTTTGCGTCGTTCCATCCGCACTACGCAGGTTGTAGATGACGAGTAAGCCGCCAATGCCATTCTCCCCGCGTCCGAACACACGAGTGGGTGGCTTTTCGCCTGAGAACGTACAGGTCGCCATGGTGAAGCTACGCTATGATATATAGTGCACGCCTCCAGCGAGATCTACAGAGGCTTGCAAACATGGGAGACTAAGCGTCGGCGTGTTGCACCACGTGGGTACCTGAGTGGACTCACTCAAGGGAACTCGCGAACGTCTGTGCTTGACCCTAGCACAAGAGGTCAGAGTCTCCATCAGTCTTGAGTTCTACCTCCAATCGCTGGAAAAGACAGCGTCTCATGATGCGGATAGAGATTTCGGAGCGAGCATAGGACCACGTTGGACGCGTTTGACGACGGCAAACTTCTACCCTTGCTTCTCAACTCACTGGATTGAGCAGGTCTGCACGAGCAAAGAATGAAATGGTAGTAGAATTTGCTGTTCAAGTAGTCACGGCGAGAAGGAGACGCAGAGGAGTTGAAAAGAAAGCTCACCGTGTGCCTAAGTTCGTCTTCACCAACACCATCGACTTTCAGGGGCAGAGTGATTGAACAAAGCTGTTTGAGATTTGAAAGGTTCCAGAGAGGCGTTGCTTGTTGTTGATATGGCCTTCTCTTCCCGGCCTTCGTCGTGCTCCCTCTCCAAAGCATCCATCGTGATCAGTATCCTCTCTCTCTCTTTCCCCCACCTCGCACGCCGCGGTAGTACAATGGTTTTCTCCATTCATTCTCTCCGAGCTCCCCGATTACTTCACTGGAACTTGCCGCCCCTCGCACCACCTCTTCCCCGATCGCCGCCTCGTCCACCACGACCGCCTCTGTCACTGCCTCGTCCTGCGTTGTCGATCGCCATCGTTGAGATAGGTGGGTAGGGTGGTAGCAATAGGAATGAAGTCGAATGATGGGTGGAGGAAGGAAAAGGTCATGTCAGCTTTCATTCTTCAACTCCACTTGGCTCCAGCTCCAGCAACAACGAGAACGCGAACGGAACCGCAAACGCACCTCTGCCGCCCATCCCTCCACCTCCCCTTCCACCAGCTCCACCACCCCTCTGCTGTCCACCGCCGCTTCTCGCACCACGCTGTCGCTGCTCCTGCTCCTGTTCTTTGACCTGGTCGATCAACTGCAGTGTTGCGGGCCGCGATCACGCGTCAGCTCGTGTGCTCTCGCGTGTAGAAAGGAGGAAAGGAAAGGGCGAGGAAGGGCGTACGTTCTCTGCTACTCGGATGTATTTGATCTGTTCAGGTGAGACGAGAGAGGACAGGAGGGATTAGCTGGGGTCAGAAGGGGATGGAGGAAAGAACGAGACGGACGTTGTTGCCACGAACGTAGCATTCCGGCAGTTTCCAGAACTGCTCTCCGTCCTGTTCCACCACATACTTGTTAGCTATGGTTCGAAAAAAGGGAGGGAAGGACAGCGTACGGCGGAAGTCTGGTACACCTCCTTCAACGTGAGGTTCATGAAGTTGTCGCACCCGATCAAGTGGCCGTTGAATGTCTCGCCGTTTTTCAGCTCCACCAACTGTTTAAGATGCATAGTTGAGCATTAGTGAGAGACTGGAGGGTGGACGAAGGGGATGGATGGAACGGACCATCGGCTTGGCCTGGGCGGCGTGGAGGAGTGCTAGTGGCAGCTGTGGACGAGCGACGAGCGAGGTCAGTCCAGAAACAATGGTGTAACTCGTGGCACAGGACGCACCATCTCTTTTCGTATAAAGTTTGAATGGAGAACGAAAGCAGAGGCCAGCCCAGGGGCGTGACTTCACTGCTGGCGCGAAGTCGAGAAAATATATCGACTTTTGAAGGGCCTCGAAAATGGCGTAAACATGGACGGCCACGCGCTCGCGCCCTTGCTTCTGCTCCATCACTTTGACACGAACGGACGCACGGCGACAAAGGGGAACGCCCAAGTTTTGATATAGTGAAAAGTCAGACAAGAGACACACTCGACACTCCTCCCGCCTCCCCGGTCCCTCCCTTCGCTTCCATCCAGCTCTCGCCCCACCTCACCTCGTGCTCACCTCGTTCGCGCCTCCTTGCCTCGTCCTCACCTCCGCTCGCTCGACGACCAGCTCACCACTAGCGACGATGCTCGGCCAGCCAAAGAAGAAGAACCGCAACCTCAAAGGCCTCGCACTCGGCGCCGACTCGGCCAAACCAGGCACGCTCTCAAACCTCTCCGCGACCTCCGCTTCGAGCAGGCCCGCCCCTCCGCCCATACAAGTCGCAGGATCGTCACGAGCGCAGAGAAACTCGACCTCGTCGACAGACTCGCATGCCTACTCCCCCGCCTCGCCCATGCCCACGTCGGCGGGCTTGTATTCGCTCAGCGGGAGCTCGAGCGCGAGCGGTACGAGCAGGAGGAGCAGCTACCATTCCAAGCTCAGCGAGCAGATTGCTGGTCTCGAGCTTGGCGTCGAGTTCAAGCTGGACTTGAGGGGCGAGGATCTCGAGGTGATGACAGAGTTGGGGTGCGGGAACGGTGGGACCGTGAGCAAGTGCTTGCACGTCCCGACCAAGGCCGTCATGGCCAAGAAGGTGCGTTTCAAACATTCCCCTTTACCATCTTATTATCTCCTACTTCTCTGTCGGAGCGATTTTGGCGGTTGAGCACGAGCCCGGACATCACGACCATAATCAGACCCGCCCGCGCAGTTGCTAACGAACGCGCGCTCCTGTCCCTCTTCCGCCACCCCCTTCCTTCCGCCCAACCTTCCATCACCTCATGAACAGGTCGTACACATCGCCACTTCCGAGTCGACACGGAAACAAATCCTCCGCGAACTTCAAATCATGCACGACTGCTCGAGCCCGTACATCGTCTCGTTCTACGGCGCGTACCTCCAGGACCCGCACATTTGTATGTGTATGGAGTATATGGATCGAGGGTGCGTCACGTTCTTTCCCTCTACCCTACTCCTCCTTGCCTTTTCATCGCTACGAAGTGAGGGGTGCTTAGACGTAGATGGTTGCTAATCCTGAGAACGAGCGCAGATCACTCGACAACGTGTACAAGAAAGTCGGGCCCTTGCCCGAGCTCATTCTCGGCAAAGTCGCGCTCGCGGTCGTAAGCGGCCTCACATACCTCTACGAAGTTCACAAGATCATGCATCGAGGTACGTCGTTTTTCCTTGCCGTTTCGTTCCATTCTTGAGCTGACTGGTCCGCACGTCAACAACCAGACGTCAAGCCGTCGAATGTCCTCCTCAACTCGAAGGGAGAGATCAAGATCTGCGATTTTGGAGTCTCTGGAGAGTTGATCAACTCGGTGGCGGATACCTTTGTCGGAACTTCGACTTATATGAGCGTGCGTTGCGTGTTTCCTCTGGTCTCCCCCACTTCCTCACCGCCTGTGTCTGCCTACTAACTGACGCAATCTATCTTCACATTCACAGCCAGAACGTATCTCAGGAGACCCTTACACCGTTAAATCCGACGTCTGGTCCCTCGGCATCACCCTCATCGAGCTCGCATTAGGCCGCTTCCCCTTCTCATCCGATCCCGACTCATCGGACTCAGAAGACGATTCGGAGCTCATCCTCCAGCACCTCACCCTGAGCGGCGTTACCGAAGAAGTCGAAGATGAGGGCTCAATGACGGAGGAGGACGAGTTGGGAGAGGACACGCTGAGTCCCGTGCGACCAGGGAAAAAGAGCGAGGCGCTGAAAGAGGCTGAAAAGAAGCGAGCGGCGAGGAGGGAAGCGGCGGCGATGAAGCCTAGGAGTCGGACCACGAGCACCACTTCCAACAAGTCGTCTAAATCATCGAAAAGTGGAAAGAGGAAGAGCGTCGCGGGCGTGTCGTTGGCGGGGTCGGGACACCAGATGAGCATCCTCGAGCTGTTGCAGTATATCGTCAACGAGCCGGCGCCGAGGTTGCCGACGGGCAAGTTCGGCAAGGATTTCGAGGAGTTTGTGGATGCGAGTTTGAGGAAGGAGCCGGTTGGGTGGAGCGTGAAGAAGAAGGGGCCGCTGCCGAGTAACGTGGCGAGGCCGACGCCGAGGGAGTTGATGGTGCGTTTGCGGGCTTCTTTATCTCTCGTAAGAAGTTGAACTTGGTGACTAATTCGATGGTGTTCTTCTCTACAGAGCTACAAGTGGATGGTCGACATGGCCGCGACGGACGTCGACATCGAGGCTTTCGCCAAGTCGATCCCATGATTCTCTGATACCCTCCGCCCGCACCTATTCCATGTCATCACTTTTCCTTTCTGTCATCACTTTACATCCCTCGCTGCATTCGTTCCACCCCCTTCACCTCGACTCGACTCACCCTCGCATCTGATTCTCCATCCCGCCTGACTGCCTCTTGCGCGTTCGGGCTCTCGCATACCACCGCTCCTCTACTTTCAGTCGTTCGTTTTGTTTAGTTGGTTTTTTAGGTCGTCTCCCTAGTCTCCGTTCTCTGCGCTTACCTCTGCCTCGCAATCTACTTCGCGTCAAGCTCTCTTCTTGTTGCCATTGAGGGCTACATCCCGCAAAGACTGCAAAGCAGCGCACTGGAGCTTACCTTTTCTCACGAACCCCGAGAAAGGAAGTCGTCCACACTGGCCTTCTTCCTACCGAGATCGAAGATACGGATCTTGGGGTCGGGGACACCACGGTTGAAGCTGAGGAGAGGCCGCCACGCGAAAAAAAAAAGACCAAAAATGCTTTTATGCGAAACATCGCCGCAACGCGAGGATGCTAAAATGCGCGTCGAAAAGTTCAACTTGGGGAAAAAGCAAAAAAGATTCGCGTGGCCGGGAATCGAACCCGGGGCTAGTGCAGCTCCTCCAATGTCCCACCGAAGTGAAAATGGCAAGCACCAATTTTACCACTAAACCACCACACGTTCTTGGTTGACACGTCAGTCCGAAGGTGTGCTTATACACAGCAAGGCTTTTTTTTGATGACACGTGTCACGTTTGAGCGGGAGATATGGTAGGATAGATCCATCGTCTGCGGTCAAAAACCTTGTCTGAAGCTAAGCGCTTCCCTTGCAGTAGCTTCCGAGTGCAATCTCCTCCCCTCCAATCCAATCTGATACGGCAAGGTCTGTGTGGTCAGGAGGCGCTGATCGAGAAGAACCGTTCACCAAAGCTTTCAACGTAAGACGTGTCATTCCCAACAATGAAATTCCACTCGAGAGACCCGACAGGAAGAGCGACTCGCCGGGCATCTCTTCACGTGCAGGTCCATAATTGATTCCATGAGCTCGCTCCGAGAACATGGCGACCACCCACGCCTGCCTTTCCCTTTCCTCCTTCTCTCCCTCTCCTTCAGCTTGAACCACCCACTTCGACCTATGAGTCCGGAAGACCATTCGGAGACGCTCTGGAACGAGAAGCTCGCGCTCCTCCCTCCGCCGCCGCCCAAACCTGCTCCTTTGAGCCTGTTCTACTCCAACCCAGACCTCGCTCGGACCACTGGTCACTTCCAGGGACCATGGATAGAGGAAGAGGAACCTGACCTAGACACAGGTGAGATGTTTCGTGTGGAGCTTGACAGCCCACAAGTCTGTGCAGTAGTACGTGACGTGGTCCGTCTCAAGTACGCGCGACCAGTGCCCCGCGAGCCTCTCTCGGCCGACAACGTCACCAATGGATCGAAACTGGTAGAAGCCTATATTAAGACTTACCACAAAGAGATCTTCGGCGTCAGGAGTACGGTATTGATCCGTCTAGCGGAAAGGTTGCAGCTCGGCTGGCCCCAGCACACGGAGTTTCCTCCGCCAGCCTTACCTCTCCAGCGGCTTTTCTCAGCACGGAAGAATGTGTTTATCCCCGCTTTGATGGATGTCACACTTCATGAAATCAGGGTGCTTCCTCGAATGGACGCAACTCTGGAGAAGACGTTGGGTGAGCGAATAATTAACGAAGGCCGCAGACGCGGCGACCACTCAGGGCTGACGTCTCTTGTGGCTCTAGAGCTGTGGAAACGGTTTGCGGCAGAGGCAGACGAAGCCTTGGCGAAGGGTTTTTCACGAAAGGTCATGCGTGTGGGAGGCTATTTGGAGTATACCTATCGTCACGGGCGCGCATGTGAGTCGATTGCTGCTGACGCCGTCAACTCAGGTGAAGGACGTGGAGCTAATGGAGCGCATGTGGCCAGGGTTGCGAAAAGTATGCGGCCTCAAAGCAGAGCCCACTCTGCTCGAGCGCCTGCAGAGCTTGCCAGAGCCCTAGGCACCTCCGCTAGTCCGTCTCGAGACTCCCCCTGAGGAGTTATTGCTGGCGTAGTTGCATAGCTCTGTCTGCCATGTGAAATCTGCGACGTTCGACCACTTATTGGACTTTATGAGACAGCCAGCGTAGAGTAAACCCTTTTCTAAAATTCACAAATATGCCAAAGGCGCTCCCTGCGTCCTCAGCGAAACTCCACTGGCGCAACCTCCACAAAGCTGGTACTGACACTCGCCGACTCCCCTAACCCCCCACCGACTTGTACTCAACACGGCTCCATTACCTGTCAACCTCTCCGAACACCAAATCTGCGGCGTGAAAGCGAGGGGTCAGTAGAGCGTCCTTGCGACGACCACGAATCGCGGTCGCAAAACGACTGCAAACAGACGCACCCATCGTACCGATCAAAGCGACGACATCGGGAAGGTAAGCACCCCTCGACATGGAGTCACATCCAGCCAAGTGCGCGAATCCAGGGGCACGGATCTTGCATCGGTAGGGGCGGTTGGAGCCGTCAGAGACGAGGTAGACACTGCAGGCAGATTCAAGTTAATAGGAGTCGTCAAACCGCAACAATTCTGGAACATACCCCATCTCTCCCTTTGGTGCCTCAATAGCCGAGTAGGTCTCGCCTGGAAGGACATTGTAGATTCAGGATTGGTGCCTAGGATAACGAACGAAGCACCCCAAATACGCACCAGCAGGGACGGAGTAGCCCTCAGAGAAGAGCTTGAAGTGGTGGATAAGCGACTCCATGGACCTGAAACAGACACAGCGAATCAGCTTTCGGCCCTTCACCCCAACATCTCTGCACTCCCAACTCACTCCTTCATCGAAGCCCTGGGAGGGGGAACAATCTTGTGGTCGTCGACCTTGATCTGACCGGGAGGCATCTTGTTGAGGCACTGGTGGACGATCCTGAGCGACTGGCGGAACTCCTCGACACGGCAGAGGTAGCGGTCGTAGCAATCTCCGGCCTTGCCGACGGGGACGTCGAACTCGACCTGGTCGTAAGCGTCATAAGGAGCGACTTTCCTGTTGCCACAAAAAAGTGATCCAATCAGCTTGAGCCCCTGTCATCCTCCATCTTCGCAGCGGAAAGCGAAACGCACCGGATATCCCAGGGCACTCCAGAACCCCTCAACATGACACCGGTGAACGAGTAGTCCAACGCCTGCTGGGCCGACACAATTCCGACGCCGATCGTCCTCTGCTTCCAGATCCTGTTCTCCGTCAAGACCTCCTCGAACTCGTCCACCCTTGCGCTGAACGCCGTCGCCCATTTGTAGATGTCCTCGATCAAGCCGTGGGGCATGTCGAAGGCGACTCCTCCGGGTCGGACGTAGGCGGCGTGGAGACGAGCACCGGACACACGCTCGTAGAACTCCATGAGCTTCTCACGCTCCTCGAAACCCCAAAGGAAGGGAGTGAGAGCTCCGACATCTGTTTGGAAGGCGTTAGCGGTCGAGGACGGCGGCAAGCGAGGGAGCAGAAGCAACGCACCCATGGCGTGGGTGAGGACGGCCATAAGGTGGTTGAGGATACGGGTAAGCTCTCCAAAGAGGGTTCGGATCCACTTGGCACGCTCAGGCACCTCTGCAACACCAGACAAGCACAGCCGGTCAGCGGATCCGCCTCCCTTGAAACCTCGCCTGGCGAAACCCGATCATCTAATTATAAATAACAATGACTCACCAATGTTCAACAGCTTCTCGACGGCCCTCGAGTAGCACAGCTCGTTGGTCATCATGGAGACGTAGTCGAGTCGGTCAAAGTATGGCAGGGCCTGGGTGTACGTCTTGTATTCGATCAACTTCTCCGTTCCACGGTGGAGGAGACCAATGTGAGGGTCGGCACGGAGGACCTCCTCTCCGTTGAGCTCGAGAATGAGTCGGAGCACACCGTGGGCGGCCGGGTGCTGGGGTCTGTATGCGCGCAAAGAAGCGTGTGGTGCGGGTCAGCAAGCTCGTTCGCCGCATCCATCGCGACGGGTGGGGATTGCTCCGATCTCGATCGAAAGGCTCCCAGACGATCTCAAGATGTTCTTCTACCTCCTCCAGTGCCGTTTGCCCAGGTCCGAGCCCTCCCCGAGCCACCGCCGCGCTCCAACCAATCATCAACGCCTCAGATCTTGCTCGCGCGCCCCCGGATCGTTTCTAAACCGTACGAGACCGCCCTGGACTATCTGGAATCGTTCAGACTTACCCGAAATTGACTGTGAAGTGGCGCATCGTCGCGTTTTTGCCCTTAGTGTCCCTCTCGAGGAGAATGTCCTCCGCCGTCTGATGGTGAAGGTCCTCGACGGTCGCCGCCATCCCTGGGGCCTGTGTCGCAAAGGAGCGAGCAGGAAGGGCGGTAGAACGCCTCAGAAGGCGACTTGCTGTCGAGCGAAGCATGGCCGGTTGATGCGAGTTGTAGGACGAAGGGCGATGGCGCGCACAAGTGCGAACGCCCGAAAACGGCAGAAAAGGGCCGGCTGTGGACGCAAATCGAAGATTCGGTTGACAGCCCCCTCGAACCTCACCTTTTCTCGATGTAGCAGAAGTAGCCGGACAGCAAGCACATTTCAACTGTGGCTATTTCCCCTTTGTTTGGAGCTGGCTTGAGCTCAGTCAGCCTCGGGCCGTCATGTTGTAGCCGGCACTTTTCTTTGACACGTATTCATCATCAGCGCGTCTTGAGGATATTGTTTGTCACGAAGCTACAGCGTTTAACCATCGAGTGCAAGGATATGTCATACCACCTACTTCCTTCCGTGACTTGCGACCAAAGACGCAAAAAGCGACGCCTGAGCGGGTGGACGTGAGTTAATGGCTATTTCTTGGAAAGCACGACCGAAAGCGTACCTTGTCGGTAAGGAGGTTTGCTGGAGTGTCGAACTCAACCACTGCTCCTTTATCCATCACCAGAATTTTGTCGCAGCCAAGAACTAACGAGCGAATGACGGTGGTCAGCGTTACTCTTGACGAGAGGCTCGAGACGCACCAGTCTCGATACGATGAGCAATCACAAAGCTACAAGGAGAGGTTCAGCTTCAGCACTAGAGCAATAAATGCGTCGACAGCATCCTTACAGAGTGCAGTCCGCAAAGGCCGTCTCCAGAACGCCTGACACCGACGACCACGTCAGTTCAGGGAATGAAAGAAGAGAGCAAGAAGCGCACCTTGGATCGCAGCGTCACTGGACAGATCAACACGACTGGTCCCCTCGTCTACCACGAGGATCTTGCTCTGGCGGAGGAGGGCCCTTGCGAGGCACAGCAGCTGACGCTGGCCCGCCGAGAGATTGGCGCCGCCCTCCTCGAGCATGGCGTCGAGCCCACCCTGGAGTGACAACTTGATCCTCAGAGTCGAAAAAGAAACAGTTCCAGCTGACACACCATAGACTGCACATGCTCCTTGAGGCGTGCCTGCTCCAGCGCTCGCCACAGGTCTGCATCTGACCGCGTCTCGTCGGGCACGAGGTTAAATCGAACAGTGCCTGAAGCGAGTAGACCGTCAGCAGAGAATGGAGCCCACGAGAGAGAAACGCACCCTGGAAGCACTGCGAGTCCTGAGGGATGATGGACAGCCTCGAACGAAGCTCCTGCAAGCCCAACTCTGTCACATCAACCCCATCGATCTCGACGTGTCCTTTCTCGGCCTCCATCATCCGATACAGCAGCATCGTG